TTTAGTTTGGAATGAGGCAAGATAAATTTATTGTGAAGAAGATCAGGACAGACTTCCCTTGCGTAATGTTGTGAGGCACTTGTCGACCAGCACCCAGATTTTACCAAAATGTACATCCCGATAGAAAACTGCTGCAGAGATTTAAAAAAAACTTTAAAAATGCCAACTGTGTGAAGTGTACAAATTCATCATGGGAACCTAATGCTTTTCTGAGCAGAAAACATCTACCAGAGGCTTTTAGAAACACTTTTCTTATTAACATCTGAAAAATAGGAGGTTTGACTAAAACAGCGCCTGAGCCAGAGGAAAATGTATTAAACCCATGTTCTGATCCCGGAGGTGGCAACACTGGGTATTACAGGAATGTTCTGCTTTAAAACTGGGGACATGAACTGTGTTGTTTGGGTTTTTTAATGGTGGTTCTGTACCTCTGCACTTCTTGTTATCGCTGTAACCTCCCTTTGCTCCAGACAGCTCAGGATTGTGCGTTTAATACAGATAAGTGCAGGGCATTACGCTCGGCAGCGGAGAGATTAACCCACCCGTGCGGGCTGGGGGGAATCGGTGGGGGCCGCACCGCAGGTGGGGACCCAGCTGAGCCCCGGGGCTGTTGGGCAGGACCTGCCAAGCCAGGGGGGCACTGGGGGACCCCACAGACAAATGCGGGCGCTTCTGCAGAAAGCGGCACAGAGATGGTTTCCCTATTGTGTATCCAGCCCTAGTGAGAGCAGCTAAAATAAAAATGAAATTTTATAAAGCTTTTTAAGAAGAGCTGTAGAAACTTTCAGAGCCTGGAGTAAGAGTATTAATAATAGGTCTGTACTTCCCACTTGTTACAAGTTATAACTTCATAAGCATGTTTTTATACATTTATACAGTGTGTAAGTAAGCTAGAAATACATAATTATAATCAGAACAGCTTATTCCTTTAACCAATGATTGCCTGGAAAAAGCAATATAAAAGGAAGGCCGTGCCCCCAGCCCTAAGCAGGGATCAGTTTGAAGCCTCCCTCCCCAGGGCACTGTACACTGGTCCGTACCCCACGGCCGCCTGCCCCCCCAGTGGGTGTGGGGTGAGGCATCCCCCTGGCGCTGCCTCCTCCCCCCTTTCCCCGCAGGAGGGGAGCAGCTGGTCAGTGATTCATCACCAGCCCTTGTCTGGGAAAGAATATAGGGGCTGCCTAGTCTTGCTCTAGCAATATTCAGGAGTGGGATGTTAGTCTGTTAGCACCTGAGTGGGCGAGGGTTTCTGGTGCTGCGGTGCAATGCCATCTGGATACGATGATGCTCATGGGGCAGAGGGCTCATCCCCTCCGGGAGATGCCCCAGGGCTGTCCGCAGCCTCCCCAGAGACCCAGGCCGGAGGTTCGTGCTGCTCCGGCACCGTGTGGTTGCCCTCGCTCAGCGAGCTGCTGAGGAAGCCAAGTATTTCAATACAGCTGCAGAAATGCTGTATCAATATTTAAAGCCAGCTGGCTAGTTTTGCTTTCAGGAAAGCAATCTTTCTGCATTTTTTATAAGGTGAGCCAGGGTCTCCTTACCTGCCAGAATATATAATCATCCAAGAGACAATATCCGATAGCGTTACCTACCTAAATGGGACATTACGGGAACATCTCCCCTCACAATAGCCTGCTGGCTGACCAACAATGCTCCATTTAGAGAGGAACAAATTGTCAGCATCTGCTTTTAATTTAGTTTACTTTTAAGGCAACTGATACCTTTTAAGGTCTTTGGGAACAACAGGGTGTTTCTGTGGTTAAGGAAATGATAAACATGGAAGGCTGAGTAAGCACAATATGCCTTTTATACAACCTTTTAAGAACTTTATTTTGCTTTTGTTAGCCAACTTCCAAGTGAAAGAACTCGAAGAATCTTATAAGGCTTGAACTTATGTATCTGTAAAATAAGTATGTATTACTTCAGCTGCTCAGGGTTGATTTAAAGGCTTCTGGAGTTGCTGGAAACCTTTTCCTTTTTGGGAAGTGTTAGAAAGCTTAATGACAAAGGAGGTAATGTTTTAGAACAGGCACAGAACTAGAAGTTAACAGCTCCAATTCTGAGTCACTTTTCTAGAGTTGCAAAACTTCCAGAGAACATTTTAGTGCCATCTCTGCTAAATAGGTTGGATAACACCAGTTTCTGCGGAAGGTAAATTTTATAGGACTTCTTCCCAAAGGGCATTGAACTTCTGTCTTAAAAAGCACCTAAAAAGGGCTTTTTTTTATTCGGGCACATCCTGAAACGCAGTGAGCCATCAGAGTGCTGTTGCTGCTTGGGGATCACCCTGCTCGCTGGGCTCCTCAGGGGTAGCATGGCCAGCAGACCTTACCCAGGACTGTGCCTGGCTCAGGAGGTCCCCGGCCCCTGAAGACTGGGGGGAACCTGGCACAGGCTGCCCGGGTGGCCAGAGGCTGGAGGGACCCAGGTCCAGGAGGGGTGGTGAGAGCCGGGCTAGTCCCAGCTGGCTGAGAGGGGACCCAACAGCGGTCTGGAAGTGCCTGGAGGGGGGAGAGGAAGGTGATGGATCCAAACTCTCCTGAGGAATGGCAGGTGGTGAGGCAGGGGACACCATCCACATCTTTGGAGCCTGAGAGCTTTGGGGTGGATGTTGGGAAGAGCTTTTGCAGCAGAGGGTGGTGTGGTGGGGGAAGAGGCTGCCCAGAGGGCTGGGCAGTCTCCAGCCTTGGGGGTCTGCAAGGCTCTGGTGGGAAAACTCATCTAGAGCTGGCGGCAGGCCCGCTGTGAGTGGGGGACTGGGGGATGGCTTTGAAATCCTGTTTGTCTTTATAGAGGGTTTTTTTCCGCTTTGCCTGCCTTTCTCTCCAAACAAGGATATGCTTGTGCTTCTAAAGTGGCTGCTGTGATTAGTGCTGTAATCTCTGTATCAGCTTTTACATTTCAAACTAGAGAGGGAAATTAATTCAGTTCCAGTATCCGCTCCTTTCATACATTTTCCCCAAACACCATTTGCTCAGCAAATAAGCGAATCAGGAAAAGTCATAACTTTGTTCTCGTTTTAAGGGTGATCAAATACCTGAATTTCTACAAATCCCTTGGAGAATGGAAGTTCGTGCCAGATGGAGGAGATGGAGAACTGCACATGGGGGGGGAGGAGGAGGAGGAGGAGGGATGGACTGGCCGGCTCAGCTCTAATGTGGTCGGTGAAGCCACTGATGCTCTGAGGTCGCATCTGGCAGGAGCTGTGCTGCAATTTGCTCGGGCGAGCCCATGTTGCTGTGGGTTTGCCATCGAGGTGAGCACACGTGTGGGTTTGCCATCGAGGTGAGCACACGTGTGACTTCACCTGGAGCCCTCTGATGTTTAGAGCGTTAGTGAGCTGGACCTTGTTTTCTGCTACTATCCATCTAAAGCCTTTAGTTTGTACAAGTCCAATTTAGGTGCGCTGCTTTGCACTGTTTATATGTAGTTTTTTAAGAACTGTCCTCCTTATTCATTGCAAAACGAAGCCCGCTGGCAAGCGGGAAGCTGCTACAGATGTTTCCATGAGAAGGTTGCAGCTCTTCTTTCTGGTTAAGCTCCGCAGACACATATCTAATTACAGCTTTGTGGCCGGCATGAGGTTATAGAGGGAGGAAAGTGCGTGCTGAAAATCAGTTTAAATGATTTGAGGGCAGCGACTTAGTGCTGGGGGTGCTGCCTTCACACCGAGGCAGGACACAAAATGCTGGCGGCACGCACGGGGACCGTGGGGAATAAAAATGCCGAGGAAGCCCTGAAGCTGAGGAAGCAGTCGGTGCTTTCCCTGGGGAGCAGGGAGAGAGCCCTGAAGAGCTCCTCAGAAAGCGGGAAGGAGGGCCGAGCCCGGACAGCCGCAGCAGCGTGCCCGGCGGCTGGCTCTGCTGCGGGAGCTGGAGATGAACTGGTACCTGCGGGTCTGCGAGCTCTCCCATGAGTACACCATCGCCTACACCACCGGGATGCCCCACAGGTACGTACCCAGCTGGCTGGTCAGACTGTAGCAATTTGCACTCCAGGAAAGGATGGTGGGGGGTGGTGGTGATGATGACAATAATAATAATAATAGAAAGCTTTTTGGCTTTACGAGTCTGACTTTTCTGATGATTCAGGTGTTGGGTTTTTTTTTTTCCTGCACCATGATGTATGTACTTTACAGAGCTGAAAATTCTGCAAACTTGTTTCTTAGTTACCTTAGCTTCTTCGGCACAAACTGCACGTGGTTGTTCAGCCTTATTTCTCGTGAGCAGTTTTGTCCAAAGGGCTGTGGTTTCGTTTTAATTTGGTTGAAAAGTTGCTGCAGTTGTGCAGGGACTGGGTGGGTGACAGAAGAAAATGGCAGAACAGCCTTTGCTGGGTGCTGCTGGCTCCGGGTCCCTGTCTCCCCTTCCCTCCTGGGAATGAGCCACTTCGGAGGGGAAACCTGCAGCTGCCGAATTTCCAATTCCATCAATCTTCAATGTCGCAGCCTCCAGAATCTGATCTTGCTCCTTTAAAAAAATTTAAAGGGATCTTGGTATTAGTGGAAATTAGACGTGCGACACTAATCTCCTGAGGGCTGAGTAAGACCCTTAATGAAATAGGAACCTAAATATGAATTGTCTGGTGTTGCTGCCTCAGCCCCGCCGCCCCCGAACAGCAGCATTGCAGGGACAGGACGACTGTGCTTGCTCAGGGCACATCTGGGGACTGGCACACAGAGGCTGTATATTTAATTTGCCTCAAGGAACAGGGCTGCTTCTGAAGGGGTTTCGGTGTTTTGCCCAGCTCTATACAACTGCATTAGTAACAGCAGGGATTTCAGCTGAGGAGTCGGGTGAGATCTTCCCTAATCCCCCGACAGAAGGGGGATGCCCGAAGTGCTTGGCACAAACCGAGATCTTGCAGACACACTCGGATTAGAAATTAATAAAAATGTCATTAGAATAAAAATTAGGAGCAGGCTAACTGAAAAGAAGAGAAGATAAAACTATGAGAGATGGAGCGAGTAGTTATTAAATGCAGAAATGTCTAACAAGCACAATGAAGGGGATACGAGTGGGTCTGTAGACCAAGACTGCGCAGTTTCTTGGGCACGGTGCTCATCGGCCACACCAGCCCGTGGTCAGGCACCTGTGGTCTTACATAGAGCTCTAAAAGCAAAGCACTGGGGAATAACTTTTGGGAAAACTGAGTTTCTAATGATGCTGATCTGTTCAAGCCCCTAAAACTCCAAACCAGTGAAACATTTATATCGAAAAAATTCAAAAGAGCCTGTGGAAATATTTCTTTGCCATTGGTTTGCCTTGCATTATAGATGCACAGAGAGCTGGATCTGACAGGAAGCAAAACAAAAGGGGGATTTATTTTAGGAGCCAGGGATGAGAGTGAATAAAGGGAGAAATCTGGAGTTCCGGCCGGACGAACCATGCTCAGGTAAAGCGTGTTGCTGCAGACCTGTCCATGCCTGCTGCAAGGCAGCCGGCAGGAGAGATCACAGCTACAGCCTTCGGTGTTACGCTGCTGGGAGGAAAAAGCCACGGTTCCTGCGAGGCAGGCAGGGCTGCAGTCACAGGGCACCTTTCCCTCCACTGGGTGTACTTGTGTCGCAAAGAGTAGAGCTTGAAAGGCACCGCCTGCACCCTACCGTTGATGGTTTGATTCAGTCAGCACCGTGAGAACAGGACCCCCCACCTTCGGGCAGCGGCGTGTCAGGGTACCACGGGGCTGGAGCGGCAGGGCAGGACCCCTTCCTCCACCCCGGCGTGGGAGACTGGGGACAGTAAGGTCCATTAGTGTCCTCGGATCCCCTGACACTACAGTTGCAGAGAAAGAATAACTGGGTAATCCAAATGTCCATGCCAAACTCCGCTCCGTGACATTGAACTATAATCTTTTAAAATATGTTCCGGGTTTGGGATCAGTCTTTGTTTATCTGCTTTGAAAGACTTAAGGATTAGCTAAGTTCATGATACATCCATCACTTGATTATTTAACTTATTTTTTTCCGATGTATTTGGGATTGAAATGACAGTCAGAAAATGGGTTCAGCTTTTAAAATAGAAGAGCCTCAGAAATCTGCCTCCATGGTGTGTATCATATACTGTCACGATTTGTTCACTGGGAGCTGGTGTTGGCCAGAAGAGGTTACTGTGGCCCTCCTGGATGTTATCTTGACCGGAGCAGGCAGGATGCCCTCGTGCGCTGGCTTTGGTGATGCCACGAAACCTGTGCTGTTTCCCCCAGACGAAGACCCTGAGAATCAGAGACATTGTTTGCTGTTTAGCGCTGGTGAAACAGCTGTTTGTTGGTTTGGTACGTTTATTTTTAGGCATAGTGTTCAGACAGGTACCTGTGTCCTCGCCTGCTGCCCCGTGCTGAGAGGCACCCAGTTCTGGAGGTTTTGTAGCAGCTGGTGGCATCTCGGGAGCTTTGCTGGCTCCTCTCCTGCAGCCCCTCTCCATCCATGCACGGGCTCCTGCGGGGGCATGCAGCCTCCCGAAAGCTGGTGCTCCTTCCCTGCCCTGGCACCGATGCATGTAGTTCATTCCTTTCTCAAGTATTTCCCTTGTCTGTTTGGTTTTAGGTTATTTTTTATTCTTGGTGCTTGACTGCTCCATAGCCTTTGTTTTCTAATTAATTCCGGAAGCCCCAGGAGGCTGCAGATACTGGGGAATTTTACAGACTGGGTAATCTGAGCAGTGAGAGTTTACAATAGACAGTGAGAAAACAAAATGTTTTAATAACTTGCATAAGAGATGCTTGCAGCATTCATCTGTCCAGGCCAAGGCCTGAAATAAACCCTGTGAGAATATTTGGTTTTATGTTTATTGGCCTTGGATTGAATCCCAAACAAATATTTCTCTTATCTAAATATAAGACCTGGGAAACAGGGTTGGTACTCTATTCCCACTGGCGGTCCTTGTCCCTTGGAGTACTTGACCATTATAGGTTTCAGCAGATGAACGAGGTTGCTGATCTTGGCCAGAATCCATCTTGGGCATCAATTAAAATGAGCCAGTTGCAATAATATAAAGAATGGCTGGGAGAAAAATACTGCTCCATAGTCCTGTGGTCTTCTTGGGCAACACAACCCAGCTCATACCGTCTCGTACTGGTGGGAGTGTGATGGCACTGGGCTCTCCTCTCAGCAGACTGTAGGGTGTAAGCTCCTGAGGATCCCACACTCCAGCATCTACTGGGCATTGAGGGGCTCTCCTTGCAGCTCCACGTGTGGACCATGCATTTGTACAAGCCCGCCTGTGCGGATATCCCACCCCACAAGCCAAGCCTGCAGAAGCCGAGCGAAGCACTCCTGAAAGGTAAAAAGCAAAGCGTGGCTCCCCGAGCCTGCCCTCCCGCCGCGGGCTGGCCGGGGAAGCTGAGCCGAGCCGCCGAGCTGAAGCAGCTGGAGAAATTCTTGCACCTGCATGGGCTGTCGCTGCAAGAGACCGTCCGAGCCGAGACAGGAATGAAGTACAGGTACTTCTGCATGTCCCTTGCTGGGGTACTTGGTGGCCGGCTGTTTGGTGGCAAACAGCTAAAACTACAGGAAACTTGACTGAGCAACCTGTGCACACCTTCAGGCAGGCTTACAAAATCTGAAGATGCTGTCTGCTTTGGCAGCTTTTCTTTAAGTTTTCTGAGCACCGTAAGAATTAGCAGGACTTCGAGCAAAGCTAAAGGCATGTGACCTATTCTCTTAAAACTTTTATCTTCTAACATCCATTGTTTGTGTCTGTTTACTGAACTGCCTCTTTCAAGTTTGGGTAAAAGTATTTACCCTTTCTGATGTTTTAATGAAAACACATTTATTTATGTGTATTAAAACCATAATGGCTGAGCAGCAAAACAGAAAACGTGAAGAATAGAGGTGTTCTGATTGCAGCTGGCGCTTCAATGTGATGTCTGTCCCTGCTCTGCCCTAAAGCTGGAGCATGTGGACCAAAAGCCCGAGAACCAGGGTCTGGCTGCATTCAGGCTGTGAAATACATCTTGTGTGTTAGCAAGAGTGTGCAAGGGAGAGGACCTCATCCATGCAGGGAGCCTGGGGCAAGAGGGTGTAGGCTGGGGGGTGGTGGGTGAAGAAGACATCAGTGTGCTTTGTCTATCCATTGTCATTTTGTTTTGTTTCAAAAGAGATTGATTTTAAAAGGATGACTTCCCATCTGGAAAGTAGATACATTCTCTGTGCTTCTAATAAAAGAAAATTTGCTTCAAAACATTTGCTTTCCCATGGCTGGTCTGAGCTTAAAGTTGAGATAAGACAACACGTTTACTATTTTTATGGAAACAGCACAGTTGTGTCAGTTTTAGCCGCTGGCCAGGGAAATTTGTTGTTGTTTGGGAACACTGTCCAGGGAGGACAGAGTGTATAAAAAGAAGTGTGTTGGAGCCAGCATCAGAAGAAATGGCAAAGGGCTTTGTACGTCAGCTCTGCCAGCGCCGGCTGGGAATCCTTGGAGCAAGTTGGGATTATGCAGCCTTGAAAGCCAATGTAAGTAGAGAACTGAGCCCACAGTGTTCGAGTGATGAAAAGGGAAAATGTCCAAAGGCAATGGAACGGCATCCCAGGGATGCCATGCTCGGAGCGCAGCTACAATAGAAGTAATCCCTGGCATCTCTGTGGGTTAGCAGGAGTGATGCTGTCCCTGAGCGAGATACCCTGATTAACTGGGTTTTTCGGATCTGGAAGTTTGCCTCCCTTCTAATGAGAAATTCTTTTGCTCCCTTTCTGATGAGCCTAATCCCACATGGCGGCAGTTTGAAATGGTTGGTGTTAGTACACACACGAAAATTCCCATTTATCTTATTTCTCTGCTAATTCTGCACTTTCTATGGTGCTGGTCCATTCCAGACGTAGTTTAACACTTACTGTGCCTGTGCTAAGAAGCACAAGTAATGTAGCCACACAGTGTTCCCATAAAGCAGTTAAGATCTGGTGTCTAAAGTTTCCTCCACCAGAGATTATCCTGCAGACCACCCTGATGTACA